ATGTTGAGCCCGTGGCGGTCCAGTCGGTACCGGTCCGCGAAGTTGCAGCTGATGCGGGCCACCTGCCCGTGCTTGTGCAGAAGCACGTGGTTGTACGCCCGATTGGTTCCCCGGCCGCGGACCCCCTTTGTGTAGAACTCCGTTTCCACCACGCCGCCCAAGCCCGGCCCGCGCCAGCGCACCAGCAAGGGAGTCGGAGGGGGTGGGGGGAGATGGGCGCCGGGCCTATCGCCTCCGCGTCGCTGGCAGCACCGGGTAATCTGGTACCACGCCCAGCGGAGTCCCCCGGCTGCCCACAGCATAGGCTGGGCTGCGGTGTTGACGATGAAAGCCAGGGCACCCAACACGAACGTGAAGATGCCTAGGGCGAAGCAAAGGACCGCGGTCTCCCACCAGTACCCAAGCATCTTAACGCCCAGGCGGTCGATGGCGGATCCAATCCACCCGCCGCTCGTGCGGATCGCGCCCGCGTGGTCGGGGGAGCTCACCCACGCTCCGTAGCCCACGAACTCGAAGACCCAGGCTGCGAATCCCCAACCGGGACCTGGCCCCGCCTCCGGGGGCGGGGTAGGTGGCGGCGGCGGCGGTGGGGGTACGTTCCGGCCAGCCCACCAATGGGGCAGGTGCGGGACCCAACCACTCCACCCCCAATACCCGTCCAGCCCGCGCGGCGGGTCAGGCTCGCCATCGCCCGTCCGGTTTCCCGGGGCGGACGGCTGCCCAGGCGCGCCCGTGGGCTCGTTGTTCCCTCCGTATGCCGGCGTAGCTGGGCTGCCCGTGGGCTCGCCCTCGCCTGCGCGCCCGATGCCCGCGGGTGTGGTCGTTGTAGTCGACCCTGACCGCGGCGGCGCGGGGACGCCCGGCGCCCCCGGGGGCTTGGCCTGCGGCCCTCGCCCCTTTTCCCCCTGCAGGCGCGGGCTTGGCGGGCGGTCCTCGCCCCTTGCCTTGCCCCCCACCGCCTGGCGGCAGCGCTGTCGGTCCGGGCAGGGCTGACGGCGTCGGCGCTGGGACCTCATTTCCCCCGCGCCCGAACGGCAGCCAGCCAAGTGCCCCTTGGACCGTGAAAGCACCGCCCGTAACCAAGATCATCAGGTGCGCTCCCAGGAAGCCCACAGCCATGGCACCACAGACGCGCTACCTAGTCCGCGGACTAGCACGGCTGTGGTTGCGGCCGCCCCGCGGCCCCCCGGAACACCCGCGCGTCGGCTAGAGCCGAACGCTACGGACCCAAAATGGCTACCTGAGCCCACACCCCCTCCCACTTAACCTGCAGTCTACAACCAAACAGACTATGCAATGGTCTCAGTCGGCGGCATATCATCGTTCCAGACGTTGTTAGCAGGTTGCCCTGCGTTGGCCTCTGCATCGAAGGTCTCGATTCGGTGACCGTGACTGACAATGCCATCAGTATTGCCCGGGGTCCTCTCAGCTATATGAGCATATGACCTCGCGCGTTCGAGGAGAGCATCAAATTGTGCTTGGCCCCTCGGCGCACGGCGGTTCAGAGGCTGCAGGAGTTGCCGTGCCCGCGACGCCCCCACTCCCAGAGCTCTGAATAGCATTGCTGTTAATATCTGAGAGAGCGTGATCCACCGCCGCATTACTGTGGAAAATTCTTTACGCTTCGCGTATCCCCACCAACCCATCTCACAACAGCAACTCTTGCGAAGCATGCCGAGAGTCGTGTTTTTCAAGCGTGTTTTCGCCTGCCCCCGCATATCTCCCCTGTTCCTCCTTCCCCCCGCCTCCTTGCACACCCTCCTTGTGGTGGGGGCGGGAGAGGGACGAGGCGGGGGAGGAGGGAGAGAAAGCGCTCCTCGTGGTTTGAGTCGTTCGGGCTTTTCGTCCTGGTGTGAGTCGTTCGGGCCCTTCTTCCTGGTGTGAGTCGTTCGGGCTCTTCGTGGTGTGAGTCGTTCGGGCTCTTCGTCCTGGTGTGAGTCGTTCGGGCTCCTCGTGGTGTGAGTTGTTCGGGCGCCTCGTCCTGCTGCGAGTCGTTCGGGCCCCTCCTCCTGGTGTGCGTCGTTCGGGCTCCTCGTGGTGTGAGTCGTTCGGGCCCCTCGTCCTGGTGTGAGTCGTTGGGGCTCCTCATGGGGCCTCTTGGGGGCCTCTTGGCGCCTCTTGGGGCCTCTTGGGGGCCTCTTGGGGTCCTCTTGGGGCCTCTTGGGGGGCCTCTTGGGGGGCCTCTTGGGGGCCTCTTGGAGCCTCGTGGGGCCTCTTGGGGCCTCTTGGGGGCCTCTTGGTGGCCTCTTGGGGGCCTCTTGGGGCCTCGTGGGGCCTCTTGGGCCCCTCTTGGGGGCCTCTTGGGGCCGCTTGGAGGCCTCTGGGGGGCCTCTTGGAGGCCTCTTGGGAGCCTCCTGGGGGCCTCTTGGGGCCATCTTGGGGCCTCTTGCGACCTCCTCAAAAGCGCAAATGAGAGCTGCACCCCTGAGAATGACAAAATGAGCCCAAAACCTTCGTACAATCAATGATTTTGCTATGAAGGACGAGGAGCGCGACCCCGTGAGAAGGCCAACACGGGGCCAAAACCATAGTAAAATCAATGCTTTTCGGGGTCGACGAAGAGGGGGGCACTGCAAGAGGGCACCCCCGTCGGGGGCAGAATCCTCGCGAGGGTCGTCGTTTTTTAGCCCTCCCAGGAGTCGAAAAAAGACTCCCCTGACCACCCGCGGGACTCCCTCTCCAGGCCCAGGGGGAGGGGGTAGGGGGAGGGGCACCCCCCCCCCCGAAGGGGAAGAAGGGGGGTTGAGGACAGAGGGGGCTCGCGAAAACACTCACGCCCTAAAGGGCTGGTGGATTGCCAGCCTTTTCCTCCGGAACCCGGTGGTCGCCCCCCCCCCCCCCCCCCCCCCTCCGAAAATACCCCCCTGCTGGGACGCCCTTCCCCCGCCCCACACCCTTCCCCGGCCCCCCCCCTCTCCCTTCCCTAACCCCTCCCCCCCCTCCCTTGAAAAACCGGGGGGAGGGGAGGGGGAGGGGGGGGGGGAAAGGGGGGGGGAAGGGGGGGGTCACCACCAGATCGAGCCCCCCCACACCCCCCCCCTCCGGACCCGGAAAAAACCTATGGGGGTCACTACCGGTTCGAACCCCCCCCCCCCCCTCCCCCCTCGAAAACCGGAGGGGCGCCACTGCCGGTTCGACCCCCCCCCCCCCTCCCCTCCCCACACGCGCCCGCCAGCAAACGACTCCCGGTCCCTACCACCGTCCGCATCACATCCCCACTGTTGTTCCCAGCACCACTGTCCTCACCACCACTGTCCCCACTGGTTCCACCACCGTCCCTACTGTCCCCACCAATGCCCCCACCACTGTCGCACTGTCCCCACTGCCCCCACCACTGTTCCCACCACGGTTCCACTCTCCCCACTGTCTCCAGGGCCCCAACCACTGCCCGACTATCCCCACTGTCCCCACTGCCCCACTGACTCTTCCGCTGCCCCACTGAGCTGTCCCACTGTTCCCACCACTGCCCCCACTGTCCCCGCCGCTGCCCCCACTGCGCCTGTTTCATTGTCCCGCCGCCGTCCTCGCCACCGCCTTCGCCACTGCCCCCACCACCATTGTACCCTCCACTGTCCCACTGTTTCCACCTCATTCCCACTGTCGCACACCACTGCCCCCACTTCCACCGCCTCCACCACTGTCCACTGCCACCCCTGTTCCCACCATTGTCCCCGCCACTGCCCCCGCCACTACCGTCCCCACCACTGTCCCATGTGAGTACTGTCCCACTGTCCCTCCGCCGCTGTCCCGCTGTCCCTCCACCGCTGCCCCCGCCAACACCGCCCCCGCCACTGTCCGCGCCCCCGCACTCGGTTTTCGAAGGGGGGGGGTCGAACCGGCAGTGGCCCCACCCGGTGTTCGAGGGGGGGGGCTTCGAACCGGCAGCGACCCGCCCCCCCCCCCTCCCCTCCCTCTCCCCTTTTTCATGATGAGCTGGGGGGAGGGGGGGGGGGGTTCGAACCGGTAGCGACCCCCCCCCCCCCCGGTTTTCGGGTGGGGGGGGGGGGGGGTCGAACAGGCAGTGGCCCCCCCCCCCGGTTTTCGCCAGCAGCGGTAGAACACGCTCTTTATAATATCTGGAACTCGGGGATGTTGAAGCCGGCGGTTTCAGCTTCGTAACGGGCTATCTCGAACCGCGCTAGCGCCTGATCGATTCGTTCTCCCGCATGGACACGAAAGTCAATGAGAGCCGTGTCAGACTTAAGTTGGCGTTCCTCTCCCAGGTTCTCGAACTTCGTACTTAAGAGGAACATGATGTAGGTGGCGCCGTCGGTGCGGCGGCCGCCTATATTGACACCAAACTTGACGACTGCTGGGGGGCTCTCATGGCCATGGTCCGCGCGAGCCCTCCAAGGCCACGCTGAAGTGCGGCGGCCTGTTGGAGGGGTGTCATGTTGCCTGTGGCCACGTTGACCCAGGCGTGAACCTCGCGGACAAACTCGCGAAATGGTACCTGACCGGCCGGGTCCCAGCGGGGGCCAGTCGCTCTAGCGTCGCCACCGCCCCGCATGTGTCCCACCGCACATCCAAGAGCGACCCATATGAGCCCACACATAGCAATCCCAACCCAATGGCCTCGTAGGTCGTAGTCGGATATAGTCGGTGGAGACTCGTGCTTCGTCGTCGTAAGTCCGCGCGGGGTCGGAGGCGGCAGAATATCGCATCGCACGTGTCCATGCATTGTCTTCGAAGAAATTTCCACTCGGCGTAGGCGGGTGGACTTCAGGAGTGCAGTGGCGCAGGGGTGTAGAATATGAATGAGAGACCTCCGATGGAACAGAGGTGCCACTGCAAGTTTCCTTGCGGTACTGCGTTTATATATACACATATATATATATATGTATATATATATATATGTATATACGCTAGAACGGCTGGTGTGGCTCAAGGCTGCCACGCTGGTGTGGCCCTTGAGTTGATTGTAAGTCTACACCTCAGCCCAGCTGCACCAGTGTGTGGCTTCGTTTTCTCGTACCTGCCAGGTCAGCTGACCTGCGCTCATGCCGGCATGGAGCGCGCCCAACCGCGCGGGCGGTGGCGGCTATGGTGGCAGTGGCTCGGGTTCGGCGTCCTCGGGGAACTCGCGCGAGTGGAAGATGGACCCGTCCGGCCGCTGGCACTACATCGGGCCCGGCAATGCGCAGGGCAATCGGGGACACGACGCCTCCGTGCAGCAGCAATCGCGTACCTGGCAGTGCTCGCGCTGCCACTCCACCAACCACTCGCCGAAGGCCTGCTCCGTGTGCGGCCTCCGGCGCAGCTATGCTGCTGTCGCTGCTTCGGCCGATCCGGCGGCGTCCGCGCCTCCGCCGAAGCCGTCTACCCGCGCCCAGCTCGACCAGATCGCCCAGTCGCTCCAGTCGACGCTGGCCGATGTCCAGGCGCGTGTCGCGGCTCCCCGGGCGGGCGCGCCTGCTGCCCCCCCGGATGCCGCGGCCCCGGCTTCCGCCCCGACGCGGCCCGAGCTTGTCAAGAGGCTCAAGCGCTACGAGGCCGCCCTCGAGATCTACAAGGACGACACGGCCGACCCAGAGCACGCGCGACTCACGCAGCAGATCTCCGATGTGAAGGCCGAGATCTCTGCCCTCAAGCCGCTTGGTGCGAAGCTGGATGGTGCCCGCCAGGCCCTCCAGCGTGCGTCGGCGCGGCGCGAGGAGGCCGACAAGGCCTTGGCTGCTGCCGCGCTCCTCCGCGATACCGCCGAGGCGGAGGAGGCTTCGGCGAAGGAGGCGGTTGCTGCCCTGGAGTCCCAGGTCTCGCCCCTCGACAACACGGATCTCATGACGTCGATTCAGGCGCAGCTGCATCAGCTGATCGGCACGCTCAAGTCCGACCCCGGCGTCCATGCCACGCACATCGCGAATGCGGAGAAGCACGTCCACGACCTCTTTGCCGGCTTCCAGTCGGTTTTTCCGCATGCGAAGGACTACCACGCCCACCAGGAGAAGGTTGCGGGCCTTGCGGAGGGCCGCCCGCCCTACCGCCACGTTGGGAAGCATCCGCTCCCGACGTCGCTGCCCGAGCCCTCTGTCCCCTCGCACCGGGTCCGGCAGAATGGCAAACAGCCTCCCAAGGAGGTCCCGGACGATGTCTTCCGGCGTCCTCGCACTCGCCAGGCGCCTCGCCGCTCCCGGCGCCGCGGCCAGAGCGCGGACCTATGAGCCAGGCCGCTCGCGCGGGGCTCCACTTCGCGCCGCCGCCGCGCCCTGGCGCCGGCGCCGCCGCGACTCCGACGCCGCCGCCGACGTCACCACGACAGCACGACGACGACGCCGTTACGACGTCGATACCGCCGCCGCCGCCGTTACGACAGCTCGGCGCCGGCGCCGTTACGACACCGACACCGCCGCTGACGTCATTACGACAGCGCGACGCCGACGCCGTTACGACACCGACTCCGACGCCGCCGCCGACGTCACCACGGCAGCACGACGACGACGCCGTTACGACATCGATACTACCGCCGCCGCCGTCACGACAACGCGACGCCGACGCCGTTACGACACCGACTCCGACGCCGCCGCCGACGTCACCACGACAGCACGGCGGCGACGACGACGCTGGGGCACTCTTGGCATTCAAGGTCGCTTCAGCGAGCGCCAAGACGTTGGATCCTGCTGGTGTTCGTCGCGCCAAGAAGCTTGGCCTGAACACTAGTAGCAAGATGGAGTACCTGGACGGTGCTCTCGCCGCCGCTGGCTACAACATCATTGGCGTGCAAGAGTCTTGTGTGGGTGGCGACGTCACCCGGGAGCAAACCCAGTACGTCGTCTACACTTCTGGCGCCACGCCAGAGGGACACTTCGGAGTTGAATCTTGGATGGCGCGCTCCCTCGTTCTGGGTGCCCGTGTGCAGCCTCAGGCCATCTCTCCCCGACTATTGGTGGTGAGGCTTGATAGTTCACAGTGTTCTTTCACACATGTGGTTGCCCACGCACCTGTTCAACAAGCTTCTGATGCCGACAGGTCGGCCTTCTGGGACTCCCTCAAGGCCGCCTTGCATGCCATTCCGCCTGCACGCATGGTGTTTCTCTCCATCGATGGTAACGCCACGCTCGGCTCCATCCCGTCTTCGGCCATCCCGTTTCCAGACGGTACGGCCGAGCACAACAACGGCAGGTGTTTGCGGGAAGCCATGGAGGAGGCCGTGTTGGTCCTGTCCTCAATGGCCACACCCGAGGTCCTCCCAACGTGGTTCGGAGGTCTCGTGCAGCACGAGGGCCGTCGTAACGACTACGTGGCCGCTTCCATGGACGTTGCTGGCCACTTCGCCCAGGCGGGCGTCGACCACAGCGTGCATCTCAGCGGCAAGGACTCGATCGACCACTTGCTCACTTACGCCGAGTTCCTTGTGCCCTGCCCTGCAAGGGGGGGGAAGCAGTGCCACCGTCCGGCTTCAGCCCGGCTGAGCCGTTCTTTGATAGCCGACCCTGAGCGCCAGCTTCGTTTCCAGCGGTACCTCTGGGAACGTCTTGCTCGTGTTCTCGCTGGCCCAGCGGATCCCGAAGCTCTCCACGACCGGGTCGTGGCCCTCATGCGCGACGCCCAAGACACCTGCTTCTCCGTCACTGCCGCTCCCGACGAGCCACGGCGACCTTGGACGTCTCCAACTACAGCGATGCTGGCCAGTGCGACACCTCCGTTGCGGACCACGCTTCACCGCGCTCGCCGGGCGCTCCGGCAGCAGACGCTCACGTGTCTATGGGCGTGGTGGTGCCGCGCTACACGACGGGCTCCGCGGCCTTCTTCTTGGAGACGCTGTACGTGTTCTCACCCATGCCGGGCCCTCCCTGCCCCTGTCCCTGGTCCTGCGTATAATCATCGAGGTTGCGAGTCCTTTCCTCGCCTCCGCCGTGCCGAAGCTGTTGCTGCAGCCGCTATTCGTGCACATCGCAAGCAGGTCAAGCAGTCTATCTCCCAGGATTTCGACTTCTGGGCTGCTTCGATCGCCGTCGAAGCCGAGCAGGCCGCTGCTATTCATGATTCTGGAGCTCTGCATGCACTCGCTCGTCGCCTACGCACTGGCCACGACCGACCTCATCGCGCGGTCAAGGACGCCAGTGGCAACCTTCTGACCGACGACTTGGGCATCGACCAGCGGTGGACTGAGCACTGGTGCCAGCACCTCGCTGGCAGCACCCCCCCGTTCTCCGAGTTGTTGGTTGCCGACTCCGCCGAATCTGTTGCACCTGACGTTCCGCGTGCACCGCCGTTGTCGCTCGACTACGTCGAGTCCCTCCTTCGGGTTTCCAAGGGGCGCAAGGCCACTGGGCCTGATGGTGTGGGCCCTGCTGTGCGGAAGGCAGGCGGTGAGCCGGCCGCATTGCTCATGCAGGCTGTCCTCAACTCCACACGCGCGCATTGCAAGGCCCCCGCTCTCATGAAGGGCGGCCGCATGCAGGATCTGTGGAAACGCAAGGGCGAGCGCACCGACACTGCGAACAGTCGCGGTCTCCTCATCCAGACCCACGCGGGCAAGGTGCACGGGGCCACGCTGAAGGACGCAATAGAACCTCACTACCCCCGCGCCGTCGCCGACACGCAGCGCGGTGCCATCGCAGGCCGCGGGACCGCTGCCGCTGGGCTCACTGCCGAGCTGCACGCCGACATGTGCCGCTCCCGTCGGCAATGCTTCGTCCGTCTCTTCGTCGACCTGACCGCTGCCTTTGACACGATTTGTCGAGAGTTGGCGATGGTTCAACCTACTGACGACCCTGATCGCGTTCGTGCCGCGCTGAGTGGTGCGGACTTCCCCATGGCCGTGCAGGAGCAGGTGACCGAATTTATCCAGACGCATGGTAATCTTCTGCGCGCCGCCGGTGTTCCTGCTGACGCGGCTGCCCTGGTCGCCGACATGCACACGAACACGTGGCTCACCGTGCAGAAGGGCGTGATGAAACCGGACGCCATGGTCGTTCGCACCACCAAGGGCGCGAGGCAGGGTTGCAAGATTGGGGCTTTAATTTTCAACGTGATTTACGAGTATGCTCTGAAGAAGGTCCGACAGCGGGCTCGCGATGCTGGTCTCGTACTTCTCGTCGAAGCTGCTGCAGGCCAGTGCCCTTGGCGCATCTCTCCTGAAGCCCTCCCAGCGAGTCCGACCGCTGCGCCCTACCCGGGCGTTTCTGCGGACCTCTTCGACATCGCATTCGTGGATGACGTCCTCTTCATGTTGATGTGTGCCAGCCCTGCTCTGGCCTCCATGCAGGCCAGCATGCTGCTGGAGATCGTCATCGACGCATTCGCCGAGTGCGGCCTCCAGTGCAACCTGAAGGAGGGCAAAACGGAAGTCTCCTTGCACCTGGTAGGCAAAGAATCTCGCCGAGTGCGCTCCTCCCTGTATGACCCCGAGCTCAAGCGTCACATGCTGCGCACGCCGGACGCCTCCCGAGCAGTGTCTGTGACGAACCGCTACAAGCACGTGGGCACAGTCCGCAGTGAACGGCTCCTACGATGCCGATGCGCGTGCTAAGGCCACTTCCTGTTTGCAGGCCTATTACCCTCTGGCGCACCGCGTCTACGGCAACTACGACATAGATCTGCGCACGAGGCTCTCCCTCGCAGATTCGCTCTGCTTCTCGAAGCTGTGGTTCGGCACCGAGACATGGCTGAACCCTTCTCCCGACGCCGTTCGGCATCTTCACAGCGCGCGCATGCGCGTGCTTCGTCAGGTGGCCAACCGCTGCCGGTTCAAGCGGTCCGGACACGGCTCGGGCCGGGAGGTGCTAAGGGAGTTGCACGTGTTGCCCACGGACCTGATCCTCTTGCAGAAGCGATTAGTGGCTGCTGCTACCACTTACGCGCGTGGCCCCGCTATTTTACGTGCGCTCCGGCTGCAGCCGGGCACGACTGCCTCGGCAGCTCTGGCCGACGATCTGAGATGGGCGTGGCAGGCTGCCCCCGCCCTGCACGGCATGCCAGACCCATGCACCGAGCCTGGCCCTTGGCTCGCCCTTTTTGCCGAGCCTTCTCAATTGAAGCGGGCTTTGCATGACATGATGCCTGATTGCACGCGCCTCCATCCGCGAGTTTGCGTGCCCACTTACATCAATGTCCATACAGACCCCGTGCCTGCTGAAGCTCCTTGGGTCTGCCCCGACTGCCCTCCCGAGCGGCGTCGGTGCTGCTCCACTCATAAAGGTTTGATGACCCATGCCTACAAGATGCATGGGTATCGGACCCCGGCACGCCAGTATGTCGCAGGCTCGCAATGCCCAGTCTGATTGAAGCAATTCGCTTCCCGTGCTGCTGCCATTGAGCACCTCGGTCATCGCGCGCCGCGCTGCACAGCGCGGATGTGTGAACTCACGCCTCTCACTGATCAACAATTGCTTGACATTGAAGGTTCTGGCCATGCTCAGAAACAATCTGCCCACCAGCGGTAGGCTGTCTTCTCTGATCCCCTCACCCTTGCATAGCCAAGGTGTGTTTGATCTCTTTACACACTTTCCCGATGCATCATCACAGCCGCTGCGCTCTCATGTTGCCAATGAAATATACGCTAGAACCATCGCGCGCGCTTCGCGCGCGCTTTGGTTCTAGCCGAGATCACGGCAAGGCCCCGGCAGAAGAATGAAGGCAGGCCTTTTCTTATGTGTATATATGTACATATTTGTCCGTCCTTCTCCTCCTCCTCCTCCCTCCCCTCCCCCCCTCCTTCTTCTTTTCTTCCTCCTCCTTCGTCCTCCCCCTCCTCCCCTTCCCCGCCCGTCTCTCCTCCATTTCCTTAGTTCCCCTCCTTCTCCTCCGCAACCTCCTCCTTCCTGACTTGCTTGTGCCCCTCCTGCGCGATCTTCCCCTCCCCCTCTTCCCTATCATCCTTTTTTCCTCCCCTCCTCCCCCCCCCCCCCCATCCTCCTCAATATCCTCGGCCCTTCCTCCGCCCCCCCCCCCCTCCCTGGCACGGGCGCCCCCCCGATCCGGGCGCGCCCCCCGGCCCAGATACCGCTTGGGGCCGCGGGCCCCGCGACCCTTGAAGTCGGCCCCGGGAGTCCTCCGAATCCTTCGGCCCCTGGGCGCCCCTGACCTCTAGGGTCGAAGATCCTCAATCGCGACCCCGCGACCCATCGGCCACCGAGACTCCTCGGCCCCGCGACCCGCGGAGCGACGAGGAAGGACGCGCGGCAGAAGCAAGGGGCGGGGTCGAGGGGGGGCAGGAGGAGGCGGAGAAAGAAGAGGGAGAGGAACAGGAATAAGAGGAAGAGCAGCCAGAGGAGGAGGACCAGAGGCAGGAGGAGGGGGGGGGGGGCCGCCCAGGAGGGGTCAGGCGCTCGACCAAGGGGATGGGACTTATGTTCCCGGGAGCCCCCCCGGGGACACCTTGCGCGATAGGAGGAGGAAGAGCCCGAGAAAGAAGGAGGGGGGGGGAACGAGAAGGAAGATAAGTTCGGCGCGGTGGAGAAAGGGAGGCGCGCGGAATTACATGCCCCGGAAGCTCCCCGAGAACATGTTTCGCGACAGCAGGAGGAGGGGGGGGCCGAGAGGAGGAGGAGGACAGGAAGGAGGAGGAGGGCTAGAGCAGGAGGAGGAATCTCGAGAAGGAGGAGGAGGAGGAGAAGGAGGAGGAGGGGGAAGAGGAGGGGGGGGGGCAGGAGGATGATAAGGACGAGGAGGACAGACACGCAGGACAAGGTGAGCGGCGGGAAGAGGGGGGGGGGGCAGGACAAGCAGGACATAAGGAGTAGGCGGAAGGGAAGGAGGGTGAGGGACCCACACCCTGTACCAATGATGAAGCTCAGCGCTCCGAGTTATGCAGCATCTTTGTCTGTGCACCCCGCAGCGGCTGTGCCGTGTGGGCCCTCTTCCCCCTCTTCAGTCCTCAACCAAAGGTGCCAGACGTCATCTTGTAGGTCTGATGCCCTGATTAAGGCCTCCGCCGCAGATGCCCTCCACTGGGTGGACAATTGCTGGCGCACTTCATGCGGGAACCTCCGCCTATCTTCGGCGCTCGAGGGCAACTCCTTTAGGTCGCGGCGACGCGCCTTCCTACATGCGATGGCGGGTTCCGCAGTCGAGGGGTCAAATCGGACGCGGAAACTGACCCGGCCCTTTGTCTGAGATCGAATGCAACTCTTGCTGGGGGGATCGCTCCAATGCAACTTGATAGCGCCCCGAGAAAGAGGATGCAGGAAACTTGCAAGAATAATTGCGAGACTCTCAACTCGCCCCCTGCGGTTGTGGAGGGCCCCCCCCGCCGGAAGAGTTGCCATCAACTCCTTTGCTTGTATTTAGAGAGGCCTTTGGAATATAAGGGCCGGCCTGCTTCTGCCCTAGAAGGCCCCGAACTAACGGGGCTGGGCACGCGAGCGCGCCCAGGCTGACTGGGTCAGCGGACGCATTCCTGCCCCCCCGCACTCGGTTTGACCGACGCGGGCGCCGCCGCATCCGTCTCGCGAGAAGGTAAGAAATGCCATCCTTAACCTAATTATTCCAATCAGTCCGTCTGCACTGGCGGCGCGGCCGCCAGTGCAGAGCCAGTGTCGCGGATGGTCGGGCGCGGTCTTGGCGAACCAACAATCTTTCCCACGCGTGCGCTGCCCCGTTTCCTTGAAAGAGCGGCAAATCTGATCCTTGCTCTTGCCTTTGCCTTTGCCTTTCTCTCCATCATGTCTGCGTCGCTCTGAGCTCGAGCAGGCGGCCCTCGAGCCGCCTCCCGAGGATGAAGAGACATTGGCAGCGGCGGCGTTGGCTTGCCTGGCTGCGCGCTCGTATCCCAGAGTCTTTCCCGCTTTAAGCTTGGCCTGTTCATATTTGTCACGCTTGAGCTTTTCTTCGTCGGTCAGGGCTCTGTGTTGCCTGTAGCAACCGCCCTGGGGTCCACGGCAGTTCTTAGGATCGCGTGAGAAAGGGTAGCACGGCAACTTGCTCTGTTTTTCGCGCGAACGTTCGGACTGGCTCCTAGTCCGCTGCTGCGTGCCCTTTCCACGGCCGCCTGCCGGGGTCTGAGATCGGCCCCGTGCCTTTCGGCCACCGCCTTCAGGTTTCTCAGACCTCCCTCGAGAACGACTGTTCTGAGCTGGAGCAGCGTTCGGGTTAGCCCCCGCAGCCGGCTGGGCCGGAGCGGCAACTTTGGGCTTCTTGTGAGTAAACGGGCAACCCTGACCCTCGCACGGGCAGGTCTCTCCTTCACGGACGAATTTGCACGTTGTCTCGCCCTTCGTCGCTCCACTCTTCATAACATCTGTGGATTTCCCGAGACGCGCCGCTACCTCTGCCGCAGCTGCTTTGCCATTGAGGCCTCGGCGGCTCTCGTTGCCGTTGCCTCCACCGCCGCCCAAGCGCGTCTGCCGAGCACGTTGGTTCAAAGTACCCTCATGCAGATCGATGTTCCGTTCTTCCTTCTCACGCAACATCATCATCTCAATCTGCGTTATGAGCCATTCGTAAGTACGCATGCCCGTCCCTGGCTTGTCTGAAGACATATCATAAACTGACAAGTCATGTACAACTTCTTCGGCTTCCTGCATTGCTCAAGGAAGTGTGCGTGGATCGAAGCTCGCACGTCATCAGATGGAGGTCGTACGCCGTCGAGCTGTTGATACACATATGTCCATTCATTCTAGAAAAGGTACAATTCAGCATCTGGGAGTTTGGGATCAATAACAACCTTCAAAATGTCACGCGAAATGCGATGCTGACCCAGCTTCGATCTAGCTGAGCACCAGTAGCATATGGCCCGTATCATTTCGCGCCCCGTCAAGAGTCTCTTTTCATTCTGGGCAGCGATCTCCATGCGGTTGATCTGGTGAAGGAAGTGATTGTGATGAAGAGAAAGCTTACGGTTCCTACGCATCTTATGGAATTTCCAAATCAAATTAGTGGCGATCATGATGTCAAGACGTCGGAAACGACCCGGGTCTCTAAGTTGTTCTTTAGCCACGGTGGGGCCCATAGCCCCCATGATCCAAAGCTGTGCTTCCTGAATCTCAAGGGGCGATCCAGCCACAGCACGGATGGTATGCATCTGCCACTCCCGCATGTTTGTAGCATCGGGAATGTCCATCAGATCAACCTTTTGATTATTGCCAACCTGTCTCCATTGGTCCAGAGGGGTACTCTCGTCAAGACCTCCCGGGTCATTGGGCCCACCTGGGCCCTGAGGCCCGCCACGACCGCCCCCGCCGCCTGGGGATCCAGGGCCCCCCGGACTCCCTGGAGGCGGCTTCCCTGACTTGTTTTGGGCGGCATGGGCGAGTGCGTGCAAGAATTCGGCACTTGGTGCGGTACTATGATCATCCCCATCACTGCTCTGCCCTGCCCCGCCAGACGGCGTGGCCGCTGGCGCGCAATCCTTGCCTCCACCTGGCGGCTGGGCCGTCGGTGGCCTCGCCGGTCCCGCCTGGGTGAAAGGGTGCTAGTTAATGAAGGTCATGCCATCAGCGACGCCTGGCAACTCGGCATTGAAGGGTACATTGTTCCCGGAGATGCCAGGCTTGGCCGGGCCCTCGGCGGCAGGGCCAGGGACAGCGAAATGGGGTTGCAAAGCTGGCCTGACGGGCGTCTCCTGTGTAAGCTGTGGCATATCGAGCTGATGAAATTTGGGCATTTTGTCCAACGCTGTCTCGATACATTGGAAGGATTCCATACCCATAGTCCTTGTCATCTCTTGTGCCCTGTCTTCCAAGGCCGCCTCTCGGTCAGCTGCTTGTGATCGAGACCGCATATGTTGGTCTTTCTCTTTCAAGGATTCAGTGATGGCAGCCTTGAGCTCCATCACCTCTTTCTCTGATGCAGCTGCGCGGGCCAACGCTTCTTCTTTCTCACGAAGGTTGGCTGCTGACTTTTCCGAGCTCAATCGAAGCTGTTCCTCAGCTTGCTCCTTCTGTTGGGCCAGAAGGTTGGGGTTAGCGCTGTCTCGCTTCCATGGCTCATCCCACTCCGCCTGTTGCCTGTTCCACAGGCAAACTCTTTCGTTGGGCGCATGCGACGCAGCGCTTCGTGTTCATATCATAGTGGTCTTTGCAACTTGGCGACCCACAAGTGGTGCATAACCCGACCTTTGGGTTTGAACATACTGAACAACTTTCGGCAAAATCCCCTCTCGCGGGCTGAGGCTGCTGAGCAGCCTTCACCCACAGCAACGGCGGCATTCCGCCTTCTGGAGGCGCCGAGCTAGGCCGGGCCTGCGACGACGTGGCA